TGCATGGGCACAAGGAAAACTGGAGTTTGGGGCACATCTTGGTACTCAGACTTGTATCAGGTTATATTGACACCACGTCTTGTCTTAGTTAAAGGTCTCCTCTCCCTGTTGAAGCTGTGTTTTATGGGAACATCTCATGCTTGGATGTTTAACTCAGCAGTGGGAATAGATAAATCTGACATCAGCGTTGTGCTGTGGCTGTACTAACTCAGACCCACAAGCTGGGAAATCAGTGATGCCACATCTCTCTGGAGAGCTCCTTGTGTGGATTTCCCAGGCACAAATTCAGTTTCCAAGGGTTTGTCACATCCCTTCCCTCACTGCACCACTCTGCCCCGTGGGGATATCCCAGGGAATGTTTCCTTTTTGGAAAATCCTGGTTCCTGTGCCCCTGTGGCTCCTCCTGACTGCATTGCCCAGGACGTGGCTTTGGGCCCTCAGCTCCATTTGCATCCCTGCACTGGGAATTATTTCAGGAGCAGAGCCTGAAGGGGCACACACTGTTCCCTTTCCCTCTTGGACCTGTTTGGGGCCAGGTGCCTTTTCATTTTTTCTGTTTTATTGGATTGTTCAAAGGCTGCCAGCTGGATTTAGGTAAGTGGGGTTTTTCTCTGCTGCAGTCTGCAGGCAGCAAGCATCACAGTGGAGCCATTTAGCCCTGGCAACTGCTTCCTCTTTTTCCAGATGATTCCAGCAGCTCTTTTTGTGTTTAGTCTATTGTCAAACACTGCCACAAAGACTTGGGGTGTTAATCCTGTCATCTGTTCAGAGAGTGGAACTGCTGAGTGGGCTGTGCTGGGGGTGAGGAGCTGTAGGTGCAGGGTGTTTTCAGAGTCTGTGCATCACTGATGGAATGCCAGAATTCCCTCCCGTGTGTCCAGCAGGCAGCAGAGAGGGGAATGTGCCAGAGCAGAGGTGTGGAGGTGGAGAGGCAGAGCCAAGGGGACCCTGAGCTGTGCTCAGAGCTCTGGGGCTGAGAGTGTCACAAACGGATTTACCCAAACAAAACAGCTCCCAAGGCTGTGGCTGCTGAACAGAGCAGGATCCATGGTCCTGCAGGCTGGGCCCATCCCTGGTGGGCAGGGATGTGTGTCCCAGAGGAGCTGGGAGTGAGTGCAGGTCCTGATCCTGCAGCAGGGCTGGTACAGCAGCGTCTGTGAAAGCCCAAGAGCCTCTGCAGGTTAAGCCTCACTCTGTGCAGGCTCAG